AAAAAGTCGTATTAATGTGCAAGGCCGGTCAACCGTTGAGGTCTAAAAAAGTCAAGTTTCAGGCACAAAATCCGACGGTTTTTAATTAAAATGGCAAAAAAAAAAAAAAATAAAAATAACGTGGAAATAAAATCGCGGTTTTGATTTGCAAGTAAGGAAAACAAAAAAAAAAAATAAAAATAATCGCGAGACCTTGAACGCGAGCACAAAGTTCGATCGAAAACCTGAATTTGACAAAAAAAAAAAAGAGTAATAATAATGATAATAATCACGCGTCACGCTGAACCAAATTTTTTCATTTTTTTTCGGAAGTCACGATTTGAAAAAATTTTTAAGAGAGGTTGGTGACAAAAATAGGAAAAACGTGAATTATTTCGGGTTTGATTTGATTGATAACGAACCGAGCATGAAAAAAAAATAATAATGATAATAATCGGGGTCAGGTTATGATGATGATGATGACACGTCGTCATTAAAGCGCGACCCATAAAATTGATTAATTGAATTTTTTTTTTTTATATATATATATATATATAATTTTTATTTAAGAACGTCATTTTATTTAAAAAAATTATTATTATTTTTGTGACATTTAATTATTTACAGTTTTCAAAGAGAGGGGGAGGGGGGAAAAAACTGTCGTCACCGTTTTTATTTTTTAAATTTTAAAATTTTCCCGCCAAAAATTCATTCATTCCCCTCTTCGATTTCCTATCGACGTCAATAACATTTCGTCGAATGATTTTTTTTTTTTTAATCGAAAACTTTCTTTATTTTTAAAACCTTGAAAACGTTAAGGCAAACAAACAAACAAACGAACAAACAAATCTTCCGAACTAACAAACGAAGGCAATCAGTTCGGGAAAAAAAAAAGTGGAACTAGCGATCCGATTGATCACGTGTTTGGGAAAAAAAGAAAATTTTTTTAAAATAAAAATTAGGGAAAGCCTTGAAAATGCCATAAAAAAAAAAATCTTAAAATGTTTTGCCATTATTTGGTTTTATCGGGTCGGCGGGGGATCGCGGGGGTGGCGGTGGCAATGGCGGCGGTGGAAAGCCGTCGAAAACGGTGGTTTTTTTTTTATATATATAAGCAAATAAATTCATGACTTATCAGATGCATAAAAACCCGATAAAAAAAAAAAAACCGTTGTCGAACGTGAACGTATCACAAACTAAAACCAATAAAAAAAGAATAATAATAATAGTAATAATAATAATAATTTGACCCTTGAAAAGTCCTTTGATAACAAGAGTTTATGTTGTGATGATGATGATGACCTTTCGAGACTTTTTCGATTCGATCATCGCACCTGAACAAAATCGTGTTTTCAAACAATAAACACAGAGAGAAAGAGAGAGAGAGAGAGATACGTTTCAGAAAGATTCGTAATTAAAGAAAAAGAAAAAAAGGGGGCAAAGCCCTTTTTTCGCGGAAATTTCGCGGAAAAAAAAAAAAAAATTTTTAAATAAAATGGATGACACTCAACTAATCGTTCATTTTTTTCGTTTTTTTTTTTCTCGGTTTTTTATTCTCATCCCCCTTTTATAAATCGGCCAATAGTGATGATAATAATAATAATAATAATAATTGGCCCGGATTTCATTTTGTCCCATGTGTACTACGGGGGGGGCGGGGTCCGTTTTTTTTTTTTTTTTTGCTCTTTTTTTTTCTGTTGCGGCGGGGGTAAAAAAAAAATGTCGCGTCGCATTTACGAGGAATCAAAAAAAAAAAAAAAACAAGAAAAATTTCCAGTTTTTTCTCTCTTTCTCTCTCTCTCTCTCTCTCACTTCAAGTCATTAGTATACGATGAAATATTTATTTTTAATAAATTATTATTATTATCGCTAATCGAAAAAAAAAAAAAAAAAAGAAAACCTGGAATTCGTTTTCCAAAAATGATCGTCGCGACCGCATATTAAAGCCGACAAAAGGAAATGCAAAAAAAAAAAAAAAACGGGTTATTTAAAATAATAATGATAATAAGCCATATAAATTATGTTATTAATAAAAAAAAAAAAAAAATTTTTCAATTTAAATACAAAAGTTTTTTTTTTTACAAAGATATTTTTATTAAAAAATGAGTAAACACGACACGACAGGAGGATTACTTACATTAATCGAAATGAATAATAATGATGATGATAATTTGAGAGAGAGAGAGAGAGAGAGAGAGAGAGAGAGAGAGAGAGAGAGAGAGAGAGAGAGAGAGAGAGAGAGAGAGAAAAGAAAAGAAAGAAAAAGAAAAAAGAAGAAAAAATTGAAAACAAGAAGAACTTGACGCGGTTGAGAAAAACAAGTGGCGGAATTAATAAAATAATAATAATAATAATTCTCCGGATTATTATTATTTATTTATTGATAATATTATTATTATTACTATTGCTACCACTACCACTACTACTACTTAAATATCAACATTAATAAATGAATACAAAGTATATACATAAGTATATACATAAACATAAATTTTATATAATGAAACATTTGAATGTATATATATATATACGACAAAGGAGAAGAAGCAGAAGAACAAGAAAAAAAAAACACACAGAAGTTGAAATTATCATTATTATTATTATTATCATCGTCGTCGTCGTCGTCGTGGTTTATTATTTATTTATTTATTATTAATAATAATTAATAATTTTATTTAAAAGAAAAATTTTTATTGAAAAAAAAAAAAAAAATGGCAATGTTTTCGTCACGTGGTTTTGTCGTCTGCTTTGGAAAACGAATTTCTTTTTTTATTATTATTATTATGATTTTTAGTATTATTATTATCATCATCAACAACGTCATCGTCATCGTCATCGTCATCGTCAACTAATTAAACGAATATACTGCAGGCCAAAGTCTATTGTTTTTTTCTGCTGCGAAGGTTTTCAAATAATTCGTTCGTTCATTCATTCATTCATTCATTCATTCATTCATTCATTTATTCGTACATGCATACGTTTATTCATTCATGCATTCACCTTGATTTTCGCGTTATCCGAATCGCGGATACGTCACACAACGTTTTCGTTCGTTCGTTCGCTTGCTTGCTTGCACTTGACTCGGTCACGTAACGTGACAATAAAAATAATTTTTTTTTTTTTTGAAAGGGCGACGAAAAAAATCGATGGACGCGCGTGTGAATGCAGGCTCTCTCAAACATTATTATTATTATTATTATTATTACTTTTTTTATAAACTTCCTCGTTTGAATTAAAAAAAAAAAAAAACAAAAGAAAACGTGAACGCGTTCGGTACTCGTCGGTTGAGCAAAAAAAAAAAAAAAAATGTCCTCATTTTGTGCCAGAGAGTGTGCACGAGATGATGACAGGTTAAATGAATGGCATCACGATTTAATTTTTTTTTCTTACCGTAATTATTACCAGAAATTATCCATAAAAAAAAATAATAATAATAATAGGAAAAAATAGTCGTTCCAAATCGTAAAAGCCGACGCGAAACGGGTTGAAGAAAATTATATCGAACCTGCAAAAAAAAAAAAAAAAGGAACGTTTGACCTTGACTCGAACGACATGCACGACACGTTTTTGTCATCGCGAGAGTATGTGTGTGTGTGTGTTATTCCGTCACGGCTGTGACACGGTATCTCATTTAAGAAAAAAATAAAAAGAGAGAGAGAGAGATGAGATAGAGTGAAAAAAAAAAAAACGAGTGCGAGAGGACAATTGTAATTATAAAGATGAAATCGGTATCGTTAAAAAAAAAAACGAAGTGGCAGGAGAAAGAAGAGAGAAAGAGAGGGAAAGAGTTGGTGATTATGATGTGGCAAATCTGTCATCAACATCTCTCTCATCGTCACGGATAATAATAATAATAAAAATTTTAGCTGAAGAATTTAGAAAATTTTTTTTTATAATGCGAACGTTTAAAAATTCAACCGGAAAAGGTTAATGATAATAATAATAAACAAAGACGACAACAACAACAACCGCAAATGATTTTGTCACGAACGTCAACCGTTAGAAAGAAGTCAAAGAAAATATTAATAAGAATTTTTAAAAAATTTTATAAATAAATATGGCCGCGAAGAAAAACATTTTCGAACGTGATTAGTTTGTTGTTGTTGTTTTGCCTTTTTTTTTTTTTTTTTTACATTGTTGGTACCCTTTGGTCAAAGTTAATGTCTTTTATTTATTATGTTTTCCGTCGGATTTGTTGATAAGACCGAACAAACAAACAAACAAAAATTTTTCTCGTTTTCGTGTTAAGAAAAAAAATTTTTTTTTTTTGGCGCCATGGCGAATTTTCCATCGATGGAATGTTTTTTTCGTTGAAAAATTTACGCGCGTACGACAAACGTGAATTAAATAAAAAATTATTATTATTATTATTATTATCATTATTATCGTTTACGACAAACAAGTCGTACGTGTTACAATTTGTGTTTAAACTAGTTTTTACTTTCGCAAATTAAATAAAAAAAAAAAAAAAAAAATAGATTTTCGATTGGTCGCGTATATATACCGTTAAATCAATAATTTAAAAAAAAAAAAAAATTTCGCGGCCATTTAAATGACACGCGGTCGAAAGGGGGAGGAGGAGGGGGAGTGCGCCACATTTGCGAAGAGAAGGAGGGGGGATGGGGCAAGGTAGTAGGAAAGAAAACAGTTTTGAAAACCCCTACTTACGCCCCTACTTTTTTTCACTGACATCACATTCTCTCGTACGAGAGAGAGAGAGAGAGAGAGAGAAAGATAAAAAAACCTTGGTCCCGTCCTGCTACTACCAGTGAGTGGTACCTACCCAATCTCGTAATTAGTTATTTAACGGAATTTTATGACCTCCCCTCCCCCTCCTCCTCCTCCTTCTTTTGATCGAGAGAGAATTTTACTGGAATTAATCAATGAAAAGAAATAATTGTTGCTCAGGTTTACGTGTTTCTCTCTCTCTCTCTCTATCTCACTTGCTCACCGAATCACGATTCTCCCCCTTTCAGAAAAAAAAATAAAGTAGAAAGAGTAGCTTTCCACGGTAGAATTCGATGGAAGGAATCGTTTGTACGTTTCCTCGGGGGTCTCAAGGGTGTGCCCAATTTAAACGAAGTAATGGGATCCGGAGTTTTTCGGATTATTAGATTTCACTTTATTGTCCAGAGGGTGCAATAACAACCGAACTGTTGGTTGGTAATCGTGAGCATTTCAAATCTTATTGTTATTATTATTATTATTAATCTTTAATTTAATCCGTGAAATCGCATTTTTTTTTTTTTTTCAAACGTTTGCCCTAACTTTTGTTTTTAATCGTACACACACACACACACGCGGAAACTCATTATTATTATTATTATGGACAACGGCAAATTTTTTTTTTTTTTTCGGTCTCTTATCAATTGTGTGTTATCACATCAAAATATAATTTTTCCAAGTTCCGTTAACAGATTTAACTTAAAGACCTGAATAACGAACGTGTTTACGAGTCAATTAAATAAAACCGTGAGCATTGAAATCTTTTAAATAATTCGACCGTAACGTTCAATTACTGGAGCAATGAGGGGGGGGGGAAAAAAAAGAAAACCGTTCGAAATGAGCTTTTTAAATTTCGTCTCTATCACGACCTTAAACCGTTCGTACCGAAAAAAAAGCGTTCGTGAAAACGAGGGGGACGTTCGGGTAAATGACTCGTTTTTGTTTTTTTTTTTTTCGGAATTCGAAAGAGTTAAAAAGCGCAAAATTCAACGGTGCTCATCGAAACGTTTCCTTTAATAAGTGTATTGCTATCGTAATTTTTTTTTTTTTGGGTTGGTGGAACTGAATGAGGTTATATGTCGCATAATTAGATTGTCGTCGTCGTCGTCGTCCTGTCCAAAATTATTATTACTATTTTTTTTTTGTTTATTTCCTGGAGAAAAATAAAAGCATTTAATGATGGTTATTATTATTATTATTATTCGTTGATTGCGTTCCGCGGCGGCGACATTTTGCACTTATCTCATTTGTAGATTTTCAAATAATTAAATTTGATTTTGTTTTTCTGTTTTAGGAGAAGGACAAAACGAAACGGACAATTCATCGAACGTATCAGATAACGGAAAAGATAATCTGGCTAATCTTTCCCATCACATAACTCCGACGAAAACTCGCGGGAAAAGACGAGTCAACTCACTAATGTCCCACAGGTATCAACAGCGTCAAACGGGAGAACTCAACGGCGAGTCAAAACACGTCGATAATAAAATAAACGACGTTAAAGAAATAGATATAAAAAAGGAAAATGTTAAAACGGAAAGGCTGAGCCCGATGTCTATGACGACGACGACGACTACGACCACGACAACGAGTGCGATATCGTCAATGACGACGAGCACGACGAGCACGTCCGTCGCGAACAATGCAAATGCTGCAGCAGCAGCAGCTGCTGCTGTCGCTCACGGTGATAATAATTCGAACAGTTCGAGAAGCGGAACGCCAAGCAGCTCCTATCCAGGTACGCCGCCAGGTTGCATTGCTGATTCTCGGGAGCACGGATCCAGTCCTTTGAATACGTCTTCGTCTCACGGTCAAAGTGGTTCTCATCTCAAGCAAATGGAACAAATGATGATGTCGAGAAACTACAGCGATTTCATGAGGAGTTTGGCTGCCAAATATAACAACGCTAATCCAAACGAGTACGTATCGAACGTTTTTTACTTTAAGGGTTTTAACTTTGAAAGGTGGTGGTGGTGGTGGTAATGGCGGCTTGTTGGGAAGGGGGGGGTCAAACCTTAAACCACGTATTACGATAACGTTTGTATACATCGAAATGACGTGCCTTTTTTTTTTTTCCTCCAAGTGCCCTCCTACGAACTCTCGTCCTCGGCCTGTGCCTCATTCTCAGGTTAACATATATTATTATTATTATTATTAAATGAAATCGTCGTAGTTAAAAAAAAAATCGTCCTTGCTGTTATTTAGGTTTGTACTAAAATGCGGGATGTCTCCATAGTTAGTGTCGAATGGGTAACCTCACAACAACAAAGAGGAAATGAAAGTCTAAAAAGTCTTAACCGCACGACCTTGTCCATAAGGCCGTTGAATATTTTGTCTCGATATTTTTTATTATTAATAATAATAATAATAATAATAATAAATTATCATTACTGGTATTATTATATTAAATAAATAAGAAAGAAAAAAAAAACCCCAGGTAAAAGCCGCGTGACGCAGTGACATTTTTAACAAAATAATAATAATAATAATTTTAGTAATGGATAAATTTTTTTTTGACTAAGAAAAGATGAATATAAGAAGATTTTTGTTTTTTTTTTTTTTTATATTTTTTTCAAAGCTGCGATTTTGATTCAAGATCGTTAATGAATGATTGCGAGTCAAATGTTATCACGGGGTTGACTTTCATCCATTTTGTAAGTTTTGGAGTCAATTTATATATATATATATATTGATTGAATATAATCTTTTCTTTTCTTGTGTTTATCTTTGCCGTATATATACATATTTGTCTAATTGTAATTATTAATTTTTAAAAAAATAAAATATATATATATATAGTTTCTTACCTTCCGCCATTTTGTTTTTTTCAGCTACTTCAGCTCGGTGAGAAATGGATTTCCTCCGTCGCTCGATCCACGTTTTAGTTCTTTTAAATCCGGAGCGGCATCATCGGCATTTGTCGGATTGATGGGTCCTCTCACCGCCGCAGGTTCATCTCCGTCCAACCAACAAACGATATCGGGTTCGTCGTTGCCGAGCGAACAACAAACGAGGCATTCTTCGGCGAAGTCTCAATCGGATGTCTTCGGTCCAAATTTCGGAGTTCCGTCATTGAACGGACTCAATCCGTTCGGGGGTGGAAATATAAATTCGCTTTTTCCACCAATGATAGACATGAGTTCGACTCAAGCTCTTTTAAGCATGGTTCGAACGGCGAGTGCTCAAAATCAAGCTCAATTAGAAAGTTATTTGAAAGGCGGCGGCGGCGGCGGCGGTGGCGGTAGCGGTGTCGGTGGTGGTGGTGGTGGTGGTAGTGCTCACGTGCAATCGGGAACGAAAAGACCCAACGAAACGTCTCCCCTAGATTTATCATCCGCGTCGACTCCGGTTAGTAAAAAAATTAAAAAAGAAATAACGAAAGACGGTTTGTACGAGAACATATTGAATTTACCACTCTTAGACGCGTTGAGGACTAAAGACCTATCGAAAATTAGTACAAAAAATAGAAGCATAAGTCCAAATTTAGTTCAAAAAAAAAATTTGCAAAACTCTTTAAATAATTTACAAAACACCATTTCGTCATTGAACGTGCGAACGTCTCCGAATAGAGCGAACGCGTCTCCGAGGTGTTCATCTTTGTGCGGTGCCGATGGGAAAGCGTGCTCGGATTCGGAAGGTCAATCAATTGCTCACTGGACGGTCGAAGATGTTTGTTCGTTTGTTAGCAGCATCGACATATGTGCCGAATATGAAAAAGTGAGTAGAATTTTTTATTATTATTATTTTTTTTTTGTCTTCCTCCACGTTTTTCGTTGCGAAAAATGTAAACATTTTGATACGTACAAACGACAAACGGATTCTATCGGTTACGAGTATTATTTTGAAATCGAAGTAAAAAACGTTTGCATCGATAAATAAATTTAGTCGTGGCAATATTGTCGGTGTGTGTGTGTGTGTGTGTGCGTGTGTGTTATGACATTCGCCGCTCTTTGCACCTACTCATTCTTACGGCCCCCGCCGCCACTCAACCTCTCTCTCTCTCTCTCTCTCTCTCTCTCTCTCTCTCTCTCTCCACACCTATAATATTACCCAATAGAAATGAGAGCCGCGCCCTTTTATCACCTTCACCTTTAGCCACCGATTTCTAACCTACAAAATCAAGCAATATCAACTTTATTAGCAAACGCCTTTTTTTTTTTTTAAATGTTGCCGAACTGTTATTATTCGAATGTCTTTTTCTCCTTGTTTAATTTATAAATGACCGAACGTTTGGAATTTTGTGCAACGGAAAACAACAACAACAACAATAACCATAACAACCAATTTTAATAACGAAGAAAAAATGTTTACCATCACATTAAAAACTCGTCAAGAGAGTGTCGTGTCAATTTATGCGAAATAAATGAAAATGAGATGAAGAAGAAGAAGAAGAGTTAAACTCACGACTAAAGAGGTCAAAGGTTAATATTGACGGTTTGCAACGCATTTCAAGCACGCACGCACGCACGAACGAACGCGGGGAATCATTAGACGAAAATAATGAGAAAAGACGTTTAAATTTTAAAATTTGAATAATTGCAAAACAAAAAAACGATTCGAAGGTTTTATCGTGGCAGCAACGTCATCGTCATCCCTCCCCCCCGGCCCGTTCTCACGTCTCTTTCCGCTCTACTCCGATAGAATAAGATGCTGTTGTCGGATGGTGTTTGCGACAGGAGCAGAAGAAACGGAAGGAACAAAGGCAGCAGCATCGTGGAATTAGATTTATTTGCATAAATTTATTATGCACGGATTATTCATTTTTACATTTACGTAGTCGTCGTATTATAAACGAGGTGTTTTGCGTAGTCATATAAGGAACACAACCTGAACGGTGGTGGTGCCTGGTGGAATGCCCAAATGCTTTTTCTCTCTCTCTCTCACACTTTTCAAATCAAAATTGACGTCATAGGCATAGAGCCAACGCGGAAGGAAATCTATTCATAGTTTATAAAGAATGTCAGTTTTATTGTTTATCTTTTTGGGCAGAAAAAAAAAAAAAAAGATGGTGGCGTGTATTTAACACGAACGAGTTTTTTTTTTTTTTACTTTTCGTGTCTGCTACTATATGAGAATCTGTAAAAGAAAAACTAATTTCGAATAACGTTTTCATATTCGTTAATTTTTTTTTTATAAATCAAAAAGGAAATTGATCGTTACCAAAAAAAAAAAAAAAAAAAAAAAAACATATTTCAACATGATTGCGGTTTCGTGTTTCAATTTATTGTTTTTTTTTTTTTTTTTTTTTTTTGTATTATGTATCGACGGTCGATCATTTATTTCGTATAATCGAACGAAAAACAAACAAACAAACAAAAACGGTCGTCTTTCATCTCATCTCACCTCCTTCCCCGATTTTCTTTTGCTGCCACGATCTTTTTAATTTTTTATATTTTCGCGCGAAATGTATGGAAACGTCACGAACGAAAACAAAAATGGCGTCTTTTTCCTGTCGCTCGTTTGTTTTTTTTTAATGTTTGGTTCTTTCCTCCTCCCCCTCCCTCTCTTCCTTTCTCTCTCTCTCTCTTCCTTTCTCTCTCTCTCTCTCTTTCTCTCTCTCTTCCTTTCTCTCTCTCTCTCTCTTTCTCTCTCTCTCTCTCTTTCTCTCTCTCTCTCTCTTTCTCTCTCTCTCTCTTTCTCTCCCTCTCTCTTTCTCTCTCTCTCTCTCTCTCTTTCTCTCTCTCTCTCTCTCTTTCTCTCCCTCTCTCTTTCTCTCTCTCTCTCTCTCTCTCTCTCTCTCTTTCTCTCTCTCTCTCTCTCTCTCTTTCTCTCTCTCTCTCTCTTTCTCTCTCTCTCTTTCTCTCTTTCTCTTTCTCTCTCTCTCTTTTAACTTTATCATTTATCGAAAAAAATTCCACACAAACACTTTTTAACCGTGACTAGGTTCATTTATAATAATAATTAACCATGTGATGATGTTCTGCCTTTAAATATAATTGCAAGAGAAAGAAAAAAAAAAAAATGTAAATTTTTGTTGTTGTTGTGTTTGATGCATGGCCTCGATGTTTAACAACAACAACAACAACAACCGAGACAACAACCGACGCGCTAATATTTAAAAAAAAGAATTTTTTTTTTATCTCGGACCATTTCAACTGGGCATTTAACCTCCAACATCATCACCGGGACCGGTCTTCTTATTAACTTTTTAAAATCTGCAAAATAAATTTTTTTTTTTTTTTTTTTTTCCCCCGTCACCATTTTAATCTACATTATTATTATTATTATTATCATCGTTTTTTTTTTTAGAAAAAAGTTCACACCAAAGGTGTTCCCTTCCATTTTTTTTTTTTTTTTTTTATTTTTATTTTGTCTCGCAATAAAAAAAAAATAAAAAAAACGTGTAATTTGATAAGGGATTATCGCGATGTTCGAGGCTCGGAACAAACACAAACACACACGCACACACACGAAAAGCAACAAAATCTCTTTAGATTTTTATGTTTTATGTTTTACGTTTTACGTTTTTTTTTCATTTTTTCCTAATTGACATGTAAGTCGTTCGGGGGATTCAAAGGGATTCATACGTAATGATTGTTAGGTTGGTACTACTGCGCCGACGCGATGGCGACGGTGGATTTTCGCGATTCGATTTCAAAAGTTTAAAATTTCCGTCGAAATTTTTTTTTTTTTTTTATAAAAAAGTGTTAATATTACGAGCGTGACTTATTACGAGTGTCATTTGCGTCTAATCATTATTATTATTATTATTATCATCGGGGTCAAACCGGTTGAGATAACCGAGATAAAACAAACAACAAACGATCATGGGTTGTTCCGTAAAGAAAAAAAAATAATAATTATTATTATTTTTATCATTGAAAGTTAACACCAGGAAAAAAGTTTTTTTTCTCCGTTTTTTTGGCGTTGTTGCCAAATTTATTTTGAAGGGGCCGGGGTGAATTTTGCTTCGCGATCGTTTACTCTCCTGCCACGATGATCGAAATTTTTACCCGAATTTTTTTTTTTGATGATGACGTACGAATTACTTTCCGATACAATTAAGTGAGTTTTTCTCGGAGTTTGTTTGTACCGTACTTCACCGACACGTTATTAATCGTTTGTTTTGTAACATAAACAATCGATTGTTTGTTTCATAGAAATGAATTATTATTATTATTGAATCATTGCCGGTTGTTGTTGTTGTTGTTTTAACATCGTGAAATGCGAGGAACGTACAATATTTACGATTAAGTAATTAAATTATAATAATCCATCGGATTCTTCGTAGAGAAGATGAAGAGAGAGAGAGAGAGAAAGAGAGCGAGAGAGAAACGGAAAGGAAGAGAGAGAGAGAGAAGAGGTGCGGATGAAAGGGGTAGAACTACTTTTTCCGCTATCTTTAATTAGACGTTTAATTATTCCTTTCGGCCCGTTCTCCTTATAAGTTCCTTTCTCTCGAAACTTGATTTGTGTTTGTGTTCGCCTGATTATTACTACAACTACTACTACCACCACCACCACTACTACCACTACCACTACTGCCACTACCACTACTACTACTACTACCGTCCAATAATTCTTCGAGTCGTGTCAAAAATTTTTCAACCTTTATTTCGCGAGGTTTTTATATTCCAGATCGGCTTTCTATATAAACATTTAGCTTCCAGATTAAAAAAAAAAAAAACCTCACGGTTTAGCTCGCGCCTGAACCTGAATCACCCGAAGGTGATTTATGGGGTGGAGTCAGGTTGTGTCCGACGACCGGTGTCACTGACTCAGAGAGAGAGAGAGAGAGAGACATTACCTCTTTTATTATTATTATCACTTTCACTCCCGTTCGGTCGCGGAACGTCAGGTTTTCCATCGTCAGGTTTTTCGTCGTCAGGTTTTCGGTCGTCAGGTTCTCGTTCGACAATCCCTATTCCCTATCCCTTTTCCAGCGTCTCGGAAAAAATCGAATCCAGGAAAATTTTTATTTCGGAGTAAATATTTTCGCGGTTCTTTTTCGACGGTGTTTGTTGCCAAAATGGAAATTCATCGAAGGAAAGAATTTCCTGTGTGCCTGACTGCCTGACTGCCTACCTGTCTACGTGCTTCAAATGCGAAAAGAAAATTTCATATTTTTTTTTTTTTTTTGCAATCTTACATTCCGATCACATCACACGTTTTTGTTAAAAATTCGAAGGTGAGATTTTTGTCGCGTTTGCTATTTATTATTATTATTATCATCATCATCATCGTTTTAAACGTTTTTCTTTTTAAGTACGAAAAAAAACTTTTGGCTACTAAAACCGCGAGATTTTATTTAATGATTTTTTTAAAAAAAAAAAAAAAAAAAAACTAGAAAGGGAAGTAGTCAAATAATAATAATAATTACACCGATCTAATAATTCAAAACGGAAATTTTATGCTATTAAGCAAAAAAAAAGATTTTGGAGAAAGTTTGACGGAAAGACGGAAACGGTTTAAAACAAAGTATAAAAAGATGATGAAGATGAAAAAAAAAAAAAATGTTGTCGAAATGATAAGAAGGCTAATCAGGAGGAAGAAATTTAAAAAAAAAATTAAGGTTGAGATACGAAGAAGAAAATTAAAATGGCGGCACCTTCCACACATATTTCCACTCGAAACAATTATAATCATTTATTTTTCCTTTTTTTTTTTAATGCGTTCTCTCTCTCTCTCTCTCTCTTTAACTGTTTTTGCTTAAATCTGGGACGCCATTTTGAAATTTTTTTTATATTGGTCGGTGGCGATGAAGATGATTATGAATTAATTTTTCATTCAAAGTTTTCCCCCCCATTTGTATCGAAAGGTGTGAACAAAAGATGAAAGAGAGGGGGGACGGGGAAGGGGAGAGGGGGAGGAGGTTTCAGAGAGGAGAAGGGCACTGAAGGAGAAGAAATTCGTGACAGGCAAATTTTTCAGGTATTCGAGAGAAGCTACCGAGAGCGGATTGAAAGGCAAATCACGAATTTATGTTTGCGTCCGTCAAAGACAAACTTCAAGGACACGACCTGTCCTGCCCGATAATGACACTAATTATGTTTGAGGTCGAACGATAAAAACATGGCCGTAACGATTTGGCACCCGTGATGACGTAGGTGATTTCCATCAGGTATATATAAATAAAACGCGTTGATTGTTTTTTTTTTTTTTTTTGTGA